CACATGTTTTCCGTATGCATGACTGTCGTGACGAGCATTCTTTTCCGGGTTTTACAGGCGAATTTGAAATGAAATTTTACCCAAAAATTGGTTTTCTTTTTAATTTTGTATAATTTTACTAAAATACCCCAAATTGTGCAATAAAAAATCATACTAGGACATGGAAAGATTGAGCAGACCATTTTATTTTGTTTTGCCTTTTCATTGATGGTAGCTTTCGTGAAAGAGGGACTTAAATTTACTCCATTCTATATTATTTTTCACAGATAAACTGAGGTTGGCTCATATTTATTAAGTTGGTGGCCAGTAAAAATACTCGCAAAAGAGTAAAATAAAGTAGTTCTAGCGATTTTTCTCTTAAGAGATCATCGGCATCAAAATATATTAAATATATATTAAAGCAAAATGTTTTATCAAGAAAAAATTGCAATTCAGTTCAAACTTTTTTGAATGCCTATGTTTATTCCAAGTCTATGTAGAACAGAACTTTTGATTTTTGATTAAGAAATGTGTATTGATATGTAAATGTTTGACATGCATGCTAGCATGTCTGAATCATTCAGATAAATATTCTGAGGAGGTTCACTGTTTTCCCCGTCCATGCCCACTGATTCTTCGGTTTCTCTAATATTTTAAAAGGTAAAAGGGTTTTTACGCAGGTGGCTAATATTCCGGAGACGAATATAGTATCAAACCTGTTAAGTTTTGATTATTTTATATTTTATTTAGAAATGTCTTAGATATTGTACGACAGTTTTGATCATAATTTGCCTTATGTATTTCCCATCATAATTTGAGCCGCGTCACGACAAAACCAACGTAATGTGTTTGCGACCAGCATGAATCCAGACCAGCATGCGCATCCGCGCAGTCTGATCAGGATCCATGCTGTTCGCTTACAAACACTATTAAAAGTAGAGAAAGTGATAGCAAACAGCATGGATCCATGCTGGTCGCAATCGCACTATGTTTGTTTTGTCGTGACATGGCTCATATACCCCTCTGATGACCTGAAATCACACTTTTACTATTGCTATTAAAAGATTTCTAGTTGTAAAGACGTTTTTTTCAGTGAGTTGGACTAATCTTAAAGATAATACGATTCGTTGGCGGGTTAAAATAATGCATATTACGTTCTCCGTCGTCGTGGCGCTTGACAAAGACAATGTGCAGTAATGTGCGGCCTTGCATAAAGTTGTATGCGATTTTTCACAAGATTCAAATTAATGAATTACATATATTAAAAATTAATTGTAGTATTAACTTTAAATATACACAAGTTATTCTTATTATGATTGCAATTTTACTTAATCGAATACGATGGATTCATTTGCTTTCTATTGTAGGAATAATAAGCTACGGTAATCGAAAACTAAAACATTTTTTTTATTATTTTCACACATTTTAGTTGTCTGTTGTTTATTAATATCTAATTTTATCGCGCATTTTTATTTAATTAAATGATGCAAAGAAATAAAACATGCTGTATTTCTTGCATATCAGAAAGGATTATCAATTGTTTACCTATATTCAGCGGCAAAATACTTTGAAAACATTTTCGTATGTTTTTATAACGTTGGCTGCGACGTTGCGCATTACTATGTTTACTCAGATATGCTTGTGGTTTTCATAATGTGTTTACAATGGTAGGATACTACGTCATCGCGCACCTGCTGAATGCTCCCACTTGGACCATTTTTTCGTCGACTCGAAGGTAAAATACAATTTTATTATAAGAAAACGTAAGAGTATTAAAAAATTATGCAGCGCACCAAAGAATGACTATAGTAGTTGAGATAATTGTAAAAAAAGTTTATAGATTTATTGCCTGGTTTAGGCCTGAAAACGGGATAAGTGTTTTTCTCTCAATGCTCCCACTCGGACTTTTCCCGAAACATATATGAAATAAGGTTGAAAACCTTCTTGAAAATTATTTTTAACGTACCGGAATATAAACCGAGTCATGTTTACCCATTATTCTATATTAGTTTCAAATATTTCTATTCATAAGTCCGTTTTTCTTAATTCTTTTTATAAAATAGAAAATGCTCCCACTCGGACTCAACTTCAGAGATGCTCCCACTCGGACCTAAATATATACAAATTTTGAAAGCACATTGCTGTGTTAAGAAATTATCCTTTTTTCAAAATATCTTTATATTTACGTTCATATATTCATATAATCAGTTAGAATTCAATGAAACAGCATTTTTAAAATACGATACCAATATTTAGATCACTAAAGTTGTGACATATTTTATCATACCAGTCTCGTAAATATGGTTTCTTTCGGACTAAGAATAAGAAAAAAAGTTGTGTTGAAACAATTACGCGTTTAATAGAGTCGCTGGAATAAGAAACAAATTGATTATACATTTTGAAAATAAAATAACGTTTTGTTTTGCAGAAAGTATTTGTGTTTGCGGTATGGGAAAAGGTGTTAACCACATTGCGACGTTAGGAAGCACAAAGCAGGACATCTTGGCACGGCATAGCAGATACCAACTGTGGATATATCTCAGTGAGGAGGAATACTCTAGAAAACACAAGAATAATAGTTCTTTGAAGTAATTGTCTTTTGTTCAATTTTTTTGGACAATGTGTCATAAAGGATCAACTCATCTGAAGGATTGATTTCAATAAAGTAAAATACCGCAAACAAGAATGACAACTCTCCAGTTTGGAGTTATTGCTCTTTGTATTCACTATGATTAGTTTGCAAGGACCATACCTCTAAAGGTATTTGAGATATAAACTTGAAACTTGATATTGAACAAGTTTAATAGAAGTGAATAGCAGAGCGTAAGAACCAGAAGTGTTCACTTAATGCTTCTTTGTTGTTTTTTCTTTGTTTGTTTTTTTCATGGGAGTGTTATTTTTGTCATGATTTATTATGTCTAGGCTATAACTTTTCATTAGTTTTCACGAGTGTCATTACTTGGAATTTTTACATGTATGTAAGGGTTACTTCCCCTATGAAATGTATTTTCTCCTTTTCGGTGGGGGATTTTACTGTCTGTGATTCCTTCTTGTATGATTGTTATTATTTTAACGTCATTAAAATATCTTGAAATCATTTTTCTATGGTTTTATTTCATAAATATAACGTCAAATGAAGATTTATCAATATTTTATGTTCCAAAAAGCATTAAATTATTTGTAAAGATAATACCGAATTTACATTTCATAAAGGGAGGTAATTAGAAATATATTTTCTATTAAGTTGAATTCTTCAATAAGAAATGAATGCATACATGTATATTTTAATGATTACATATAATGTGGACAAGCATTTTCAGTACGTATTTTTCATATTCCTTAATGTTTGAAAATTGTTTCAGTAGCATAATTATATACATATATATATAAAATTTCAATTGGTAACAGTCTGAAATATAATTATCAGGATTTTCTATTACCAAGATATGGGAAATACTGTGATAAAGAAATAACTGTGATCTTTGTAATCTTATTTATTTAATTTTGTTATTTTAGGTAAAAATACGTACACATGATACCTTTCATACTTAAAATTTCCAAGTTGTCACTAATTGTGATGCATGCTTTATATGCCATGGGATGGCAGTACATTGACTTTTTAACCAGTTCATGACAAAAATGATTTACATGTTGTTCTTTAATAAACTATTCAAATCAACCGATAGATATTGACTTCTTTATGTTCATAAACGTACCATTATGTTGTTTTTAAATCACAAGTTTAACAAACACGCAAATCATTGGATTTTAAATTATTAACAAGATATTAAAGTCAGCTATTATTGAATAAATTCAGTCCTCTAATATGTGTACGAGTCCAACAGAACCTTAATCCAGTATGGTACTTAACAATGTATAATGACTTCTTTATAAAACACCACCATTATTTTTAACATCTAAACAAAACTTTATTCTTGAGATCCAAACTGTCCATTTAAAGTCTTATTGTCCTAGCTTTGTTGTTGGCAATAATTTTTGAATCATCCCTTCGGATCCAACACGAGCCAGGTGCACCTTTTTGTATAGTGATACTGTCAGTTGAAACTTTGCCATGACACCTTGTTCCTGCCCGACGACGTCATTCTTCAGAATCAAAAAAGTGATCTCTGTAAAAAGTAAATGTTGCCAAACACAGTAGTTATTGACAAAATGGTGTAACAAATTGTGAGAATAATCCATAAAAAACTTAAAACAGCAATGTGCTTTCAAAATGTATATATTTGGGTCCGAGTGGGAGCATCTCTGAAATCGAGTCCGAGTGGGAGCATTTTCCATTTTTATAAAAAAAATTAAAAAACTGAATTTTGAATAGAAATATTTGAAACTAATCTAGAAAAATGTGTAAACATGACTCGGTTTATATTCCGGTACGTTAAAATAATTTTCAAGAAGGTTTTCAACCTTATTTCATATATGTTTCGGGAAAAGTCCGGGTGGGAGCATTTAGAGAAAAACACTTATCCCGTTTTCAGGCCTAAACCAGGCAATGAATCTATAAACTTTTTTTACAATTATCTCAAGTACTATAGCCATTCTTTGGTGCGCTACATGATTTTTTGATACTCTTACGTTTTTTTATAATAAACTTGTATTTTACCTTCGAGTCGACGAAAAAATGGTCCAAGTGGGAGCATTCAGCAGGTGCGCGATGACGTAGTATCCTACCATTGTGTTTAATTGTTATAATTCTTGTTTTAATGTAAATGATATATATTACGCAATAAAGTGTTTGTTAAAAGAACTTTAGATAAATGTTATTGAATTTTTGGATTAAATCCGGGTTTTTCCTTATCATACCTCGCAATAGTAAATACATTTAATCATTTTATTATCGTTATTTTTTATGATAAACATTTTATTTGTCTTTCAATTATTATAATTATATACAGCGTTTTCTTAAGAAAATGGTATCAGTTATGCTATAGGATTCAAACATATAGTTTTTATTTAAAGGAATGTTCTTTATTGAATAATTTCATGTAAAATGTCTATGTCTTTTGTAAGGGCGACCAATTTAGAAAACAACATACGGTGTCCCTACTGTCGAACCTCACATAGGATACCTTCAACTGGTGCAGCAGGTTTTAACACAAATTACGATTTACAACGAATAATTGCTGCCGACACTCTTCCTGGTGTACCAAATGTTTCGGAGACTACAACTCATGCCCAACGATACATTGAACGCTATCGTGAAGCGACTTCAAGTAACATTAATGCTGTGAGGCAACAAAGCATACCAACTGTCTCATCAACTATCGATCGTCCTAACAACGTGTATAATTATAGGCAACGGGTAGGTTGAACTTAATGTTTAATTCATGATGTAAGATAATAAAACCAGTCAATAAATCTATATTATGTAAAATATTTAGATATAAATCATGCTTTGTTAATTGTTAAAGTTAAATGTAAATTTAAACTTTATCCTTCACATTCTATAATATGTTTTCTTTCTGAATAGCTTTGATTTAGTACAACTGTAAACATTATGTTTACATACATTTAGTTTGTTTGTATTTCACATAAATGAAACCATTCAACTCCAGCAATATTTGAGTTATGTTTTATCCTATATATTACATATCATCATATTCTCTGATTTAATTATAGCAACAACAAGAAGCTGACCGCCTGCTTGCCTTACAATTGTAAGTTTTTAATATTGTTTTATTGTATCACTCTAAGGCATTCTTATTAATCTTTAAATGATAATTGTAAAGAATCTGGTTTCCAAGTATGAACAGAACATCAGTCTGGTATTTCCTAAAAGGTTACAAATATATTGAAATAAATTTAACATATATCACCAATTAAAAGACAATGATATTGTGGTTAAAAGTAATTACAAAGAACCATTATTGTCCTGTAAAGTTCGGAATAACAATTTCTGTTGTCAATTGTAAACAATTACTGATTCGTTTTGGAGTTCATAGTTTATATTTCTTAATAAAAAGCAGCTATCTATTTTAATAATGTTATAAGGAGATCTCAGTAACCTGCCTCTCTGCTTCTCAGTGTGATAATTCGCTTAGGTAGATAACTCTTTTGAGTTACATGATCAATACAATTAGAAATACAATGCAATAGAAATCTGTATTATTCTAAGTATATAACAATAAATGGAAGATGAAAAAGTAATAAGTATTTTAGATAAATTTTAAATGCAATCTTCTTGGGATTTTAAGGTATTGTACCAAGGGACAAAAATCTAAAAACATGATATTTGTATTTCTTGCATAAATCATCTTGGGGCACTTAAAAAAGTATTAGTTTACTGATTAGGGAAAATTAGACAAGGAAAGAACATTGCCGATTGAATTCAACTGAGACACCCTCATATAGTGTACTTGTAGTAGCGGTTAAAAACTTTACAGTACATCTGTACTGAACAGTCTGAAAATTATTAAAACCGTTTATCTATTCTTATTTAATTGATTTTCTGGCATTTTGTCATAGAGTTTCCATTGATTGCTGTTTTTTCGACCTTCGTTTGTTCTACTACTTGCAATTCATATTTATGATTTATAAAAGTTTTTCCTTGGCAAAGCTGTTTATATATGTCTAATTTTCAATTTAGGTCAACCAATAGTTCTGTTAACTATAGCGGACAACAACAAAACATAGATAGAAGACTACAAGAAGAAAGAGAAAGAAGACAACAAGAAGAAAGAGACAGAAGACAACAACAAGAAAGGGATAGAAGACAACAAGAAGAAAGAGATAGAAGACAACAACAAGAATGATATAGAAGACAAGAAGAAAGATATAGAAGACAAGAAGAAAGATATAGAAGACAACAAGAAGAAAGAAATAGAAGACATCAAGAAGAAATAGATAGGATACAACAACAACAACAAGAAATAGATATAATACAACAACAACAAGGTGAAAGATATAGAATACAACACGAAAGAGGGAATCACTTAAACGTCGGCACATGTGGTTTTATAAGTAAGTGATGCTGACATGGGATTATTTTTAAGAACAAGAAATTTATATTTAAAATCAAAACATTAAAGGTTGAATGACACAAAAGAAGCGGATTCTTTGACCTAGGGAAAATTAAAACATTTAATTTTAATATGCAATTTAAGTGCAAGTTATATTATTGATAATAATAATTACGTACCAAGTACCATCAAATCTATTATTGCTAAAAACTAAAGGTGAAACTCAAAAATGATAGATAATGCTTAAAACTACTGTTTAGTTAAAGTTATTTCATGCTTTAAAGCTGCTTTTTAACTCGATTATATTTATCTTTTTATTTATTTTTGAAGCAAGTATAAGACGACAGAAACAGCGTGTTGTTCATGCTCTTTTGAATGATCATTGTGTTTGTAAGTATACACTCTTTTTTGAAGATTGTGTCAAAGTTGACAGTCTCTGATTTGTGAAAGTAGTAAAAGTTACTAGTTGACATAAACGTTAAGCTGGATCATAAGGTTTTCATGATATCTTTTCAAATGCGTGACGTATGACATAATCATTTATATCATGCTTTTACCATGATTGAAACTTGATATTATATATATGTTTTGATGTATTGTCAGCAGACACAAAATGAATTCTATGCTCCCGGAAGGACAACATATAGACGCGACCTTGTACGTCCTTTTCCCGACTGTTCTTTATTCATCTGTTCAAGATTATAATTTTAAACCATTAATGATATTTCATTGAAATAAAACGAACATAAATCTACACCATTTTTTTAAATGATATCCCATAATATTACTCAATTTGTTTGTTATGTTTGTTTATTTCATTTTACGCCTTTTCCCATCAGTATTTCAGTCATATAGGCGGGTAGTTTCCTAACCATCTTTCCTGGAGTGTTACACCGGTACTATACTACCTTCTTCCCCCGTGTTAAACAACCAAAGCATATCCCGGGGATTGAACCCACTGGATTAGAAGTCATCGACTCTAACCCCTCGACCACTTAATATTACTTAAAGTGTATTGTTCTATAATACTGTAAGGTCTGTAGTACAACGAATAATTACGTTGAAAGTATTAATAATCAGACACAACATCAAACCATCAAGTTTTAGTAGGTGTAGCAGATAATAAAATGTTCTTAAACAAAATATTATTCATCATGCGTATAAATAAAGAAATGCAATAAAGTCCCCGTTTAGGTAGATTCAGTTAAAGAAATATACCACCTGGCCTATCATTTTGTTTAAATCTTACAAAGATAGGGAACTTTTCAGAGTTATTGGATCAAGCACATTAACCGGCACAAAATATAGGAACATCCGAAAAATTTCCTGAATAGAAAGTAAACGAAAAGTTCTATATGAAGTTGCCAGAATATCTCGGGAAATAAAGTTAGACTAGGATTAACTTTACAGCGACGACACGTTGTATAATATGCAACAGGAGCCGGAAAAGACACAAGCGCAAGACCTAAAACATACAGAAATTCAAAATTTTAGAAACACACTTAACAAAGACACAAAGCCAAACCAATCACGAAACAAAACAAGCGATGTTAATACGTATATAAAGAGACCACGACAAACCATTTGGCCATCAGGAAAATGACCGGTTTGGATGTTATTTAATCTCAAAGAAAGGATTTAATAATATAAATACACCAATTTCCGAGATATGGAGGTAAAGCAGAACCGCCTGACCTAAAATTGAAATATTCTACGTTATTTTTAAAACAACAATAATATCTCTAAAAATAAACGCTACTCACCCAGAGTACCTTACCTTAACTGATGTAATTTCCACTAAAAACTCAGCAGCAACAGATTCAAAATAACTGTACATTGACACATGATATTTACACTACTCTCAAACAATGCATGCATCGTTGTAGGGAAAATATTAATTGTATGATTATTCTGATATTGACATCCCGCTGAAAACAAATTCGATGAGTTATCGATTGCACCGCCATTGCGAGGGATGTCTTCTCGTACTTGGTATGCTGGGGAAAAAGGCAACTTCTCCACCGAGCAAGACTCAAGCCTAAAAAAACAAAACAAAATACTTATAATGAGTACGAGTCGCTGTCTGACTGTTTAGCTTTCACACATGTATCGAAACATTCATCGTCAATATTAAACTATGTCTGCAACAAGACAAATAAAGTTATATCAAATCAAACAAGTATGACACTTTAGCAATATCCAAAAGTTACCAACGCCCCGGCATGCCAATTTAAATAAAAATATCTAAAGTGTTGAACCAACAATATTTTCATCAAATGTATATATTTTCTAACGCAATTTACATACAGAAAATAAATTACAGCTAGAAAACAGATTGTGGATAGAAAATGTAAAACAATATTTATGTGAAACTAGTTTTTCTAGCTTGGTACATAGAACGTTTAAGCAGTAGTAAATCGCTGCCAAACACTACATTTCAAAAGATAAAAGATATTAATGCGCATAATTGGCGTTCTGAACAAAATAACACTTGATATACAAGCGTTTACAAATATATGTATATCAAATATCTTTCTTCAAGTAGATATTACCTAGATAAACTACCAGGCAATTCAGCTACGATATGTTTACTATTTTTAACTTCCAATTTAAATAGGACGATGGCAGAACATACTTACTCATGATAGTAAATGTAATTTTTGTACCGATATCGGCGATGAGTTTCATGTCCGGGATATATTTCTAAAATAACAATGAACTATCCTTCCCCAATGGAGGGTGCTTAAAAAATTAATTTTGTACATTTTTTTTCCCTAAAGCTATTTTTTTTTTGAGTTGTAGATAATTTGGGTGGCCTTTTAATATTTTGGGCTCTTGTCCAACGACATCCGTGCTATAAAGTGATTTTAATGTCAATATCACTGTTATCAGATTGTTAAAATGTGGCTCATATAGACTTTATTTATTGGCGAATGTCGGTACTCTTACTTTGTTAGGAGTTAGTCCAGATCACTTGTGATAAAAAAGACTTTTTAGTCTTAATATACTACTGTTCACTGTTTTTTGAAACTAAGCACAGTTTTTAATTAAAATTTTTGATTTAATAAGGCATGTTAAAATGGTTTTTATTTAAAAACAAGGAACACGTCCTAAAATAGAAATTTCAATGCATTGGGAAAATAATAAGTGGTAATGGTTTGAATAATAATCATAGATATCATTTAAATAAACAAGTTTTCATCACCTTTAACATATTTAAAATAAATTAAAAGCAAACACTTGTATGAGTTTTATTTTTTATTAATCCTCCATTGAGTCTTTGGGGACAATACTGCTTAAAAAAGGTGCTAGAGGACGAAAGACGTTGACTTTTCATGTTCTTCAATTTTCACTTTAAATTTTAATTTTTGTTATTTAAGAATTAATTTATTACAGGGAGTTTTCAAGATTCCTCCTTTTATTGTTAATTTACAAAAACCCCCGCCTTGGCAGGGTCCTCTAAAAATCAGGGTTCATATTCATAATTTCGTTACGGTCTATGAACATCGCCGTAAGAAAATATCTTTATTTTACATACATTCACTCTTCTGTAATTTTCATATAAAATGTTGAAGTATGCTTAAACAAGTTAGTGATGCCAGTCTGCATAAGCCGCTACCTATAAGTCTTATATGTGTATATGTTTTAATAATATATTTCAGGGCATTGCGTGATCATATATCTCACCGTACTTGTTACCTTCAGTCGATTCGTTGCAGGTACTTGATTATGCTTTAGTTATATTTAAATTGTCACTGTGCAAAACGAGCAAATGAGAGTATCTGATATCATTCCTTTTAGAATAAGGAGACATTGAAAGCTAAAATAATATAAACATTGATTGCAAATGTATCGAACAATTACTTTATAAATTATATAGATATTCAATTATATCTGCTTGATAAATACATATATAATTTTAAAACACTATTTTCAATATGAATTATTTTAACACTTTCATTCAATGTATCTAAGTAAATTTGTTCTTGCTTATTATAAAAGGGGCAGTGAAGTTGTCATCAAACTGCGATCTTGAACATGAAATTGCAGTCTACTTGTTTGTTAAGGCGTGTGTTGCTGCCGTTTTCTGGGAAGCACAAACTGTATGGCTCTGCGGAAGGAATACTGAAGAAATACTGAATAACCCTTTTATAGAAGCATACATATTTTTAGATTTGTTATTTTCTTTATGCTGGTTATGTGTTGGAACGTAAAATATGTCATTTGTTTAAAATTTGGGTATTGCCCGAAATTATCAAATTAAATCTTAATGCCAAAGTGGGAACGATTAAGCTATTAGCAAATGTGTAATAATAGCCTCTATAACTATTCAAGCGATGGTCATCAAAGATTCTAATTGAAAATTTTTTTTTTCCCAAAATGTAATCATAAAAAAACAAATAAAACGTTATTTTTTCTTTAAAGGGGACAAGAAAAGTTTTTTGGTGTTAAAATGCAAAAATTTGTTTTTATTTTTTCCCTTAAAATTTTCAGGAACGATGTACTTTTTTGGGAAAAACTTCAGAAATTTTAACAATGTAGCCGGGGCTTTTATAAAACATTTTATTATTTTGCCCTGACTCTAAACAATTATGGTTTTAAAATTGGGGTTGCAGTTTTTAAATTTTTTTCTGGGGTTCCCGGTTTAAATAAAGCTTTTTGGGTTTAAAGTTTTTTAAATTTTCCCCTTTTTTTAAAAATTTTTTTTTCCTTTTTTTTAATAATTTCAAAATTTTCCCAACCGTGTAAATCGAGTAACGAAAAGGAAAATGTAAAACTTTCGAAAAATCTTTCAAAAAAAACGCCCCCAATTGTGAAAAGCTATTTTCCGAAAACAAGTAACACAATCAGTAAACGGACGAAAAATATTGTATTAAATTAATTAAAAGAAACGAATAAGTTCAAAAAAGCTGCCATGACATTCTTTATACTTTAATCAAGCATAACAAACTATTTGAAGGAAATATGTTAACTTTCTGAGATCACCTCGTGAAATTGACTACCTGGCTACCGTTGTAAAAGCGACCTTTGGTGTTCACCAAAATATATTAGTACAATAACGGCATTTAAACGCTCATTATTTTTGATATTCGACATTTGCTAAGATAACCTGTGTCATATAATACTCAAAAAATAAATCAGATAAAATACAATTCAGGTACTTTTAATAGGCTAACAAGCATGACTTGGTGTATCGTTCACGAAATGGGTTAAAACTCAAAAATGTCTTAGTCACAGTTCATCTGCTAATTCACACAGGAACCACATTCATATAGTATGCCGAAATATGCACCGGTTTATAAAGTTACGTTGGTTTCCGGTAAAACATATGCGGACACCATGTCAAGAAAATGAACAGTAGGATTTTAAAATTTTGAATTATTTTTGTAAATATAAGGACATATGTATGATTGAAAAGAAATCGAAATGCTATTCGACCCCTACGTAGTTCCTCGATAGTAAAACCAAGTCATATATTGTCATTTGAAGCAGTCTTTTGTGAAATGTTTGTTGTCCTTTGGGTTCAGTTTGTATCAAACATATTGATCAAGAACATGATCAAAACGATGTTCAAAGTGCTCTATTAACAATCTCACAACTGTTGACAAGTATTTAAAATGGAAATCAAAAGAAGGGTAACTTGGCCCAGACTTTCAGATTGTGATCAAGTTTTTGGATATGTGTTCTATAAGCAAACATAACGCTATTTAATTTTTTCGCTAAATACAAAAAATAAATTCTTTGGCGAATTAACAAGTTTTTATAAGAAAGAACAAATAAGTAACCTTTAATTTCAAAAATGTTTTCCCAAATTTTTTTGTATAAACCCAAAAAAATATTTTTGTTTTTAAAAAATTTTTTTGTTTTGAAAATGTTTTTTCATAATGAAAATTAATGTTAATATTATTTTTTACTTTTGGGGAATTTTATTGACATTGAATAAAAATTTTTGGAATGCCAAAGATATACTTTAATAAAATTTACATTTACAACACATTAATTATCATTTATTTGAACATAATTTAAAACCTTGCAGAAGAATTTTTAGTTTTGATCGAAATACTTATAATGTCCCTTTTAATCTAACTCTATAAATATCTATCAATCATATCTGGAATTAAGTCTAAGTGCACTGTATGGAAAATTAGGTCGCTTTCTATGGTAGATATTAAAAGGATTACACTAATCATATGTGAAATGATAAGAATTTTCTTGTTAAAAAGGAGTCTGTAATATATTCTTATCTTTTTTTCCCAATCCTTTTTATCATCTATGTGACAAGATCCAGGATATTTACCTCGCTAAATGTCAAGACTACATCCGTGTGATCGAACAAGGGCATAGACGGCAACTTGCACTTTCCAGTACCGTCTATGATTAGGTTCAACCAAACCGAGCCCGCAACATTTTTTTGATTTTTGGTCGCTTTTGAGCGCTTTTTTAAAAAAAAATTTGGCATTTTTAGGAATTCCCCATTTTTTTTTCTTCATGTGAAAAAAAATTCTTAGTTACATTTTAATTTTAAAAAAATATTGTTAAAAAAAAAATTTAAAATAAAAATTTTACCCTACAATTTTAAATTTTTTTATTAACTATTTTTTTCAAATTCCCCAAGGGCACTTTGGGGCCCCCAAAAATGTTTTAAAGGTCAAAAAAAATTTTTAATTTAAGGGCTAAAAATTTGGCCCCCAAAATTTTCCCTTTTTTTATAAGTAAAAAATAACATTTTAACCCTTTTGGGAACCCCCAAAAATTTTTTTAGGTTTTTTGAGGGGGGCTTTATTTTAAAAATTCCCCTTTCAGTTTAAAAAAACCCCAAAATTTTTTTTGGGTTTTTTTTGGGAAAATTTTTCCTTTTTTGTTTTCCCCAAAAACTTTGTTAAAAATATAATCATTGGGGTTAAATTATTGTCGGGTAAAATTAAAAAAATTAAAAAAAGAATTTAAAGGACCCCGGGTAAAAATAAAATTTGATTCGGGGCAATTTAAAAACTTTTTAAAAATTTGACAGGAAATTTTATAAAAAAAAGAAACATAATTGGGTTTTTTATTATTTCAGGAAAAAATTTATTAATTTTTATTGGAAAAAATTTTTTCAAAATTTTTTCTTTTATTAAAGAAAAAAAAACAGGGAATAACGCTATTTTAAATTTGGGGAAACCGGGGTTTTGTATTTGGGAAAAAAAAAAAAAGTTTAGCTTTTTTTTAAAGGGGCTTAAAATTTTGATTTTTTCTCTTTTTTAATTTTTTGGGCGTTTTTTTATTTTTGGGTTGGGGTTAAAAACAAAAAGGTTTTAATTTAAGGGGTTTTTTTTAAGTTTTTGTCCCCAAATTTTTTTCAAAATTAAAAAATTATTAAAATTTTATTTAAAAAAGTCCCTTTTTTTCCCAAAAACAAGTAGAAAAATTTTCATTTTTAGGGTTGTTTTAAAGGGGGCTTATTTAAAATTTTTTTTATGTTTTTCTGTTTTTAAAACTATTCTACCAATTATTGTTAAAAACAAATTTTTTGAATTAAAGGGTTTTTTTAAAATTTAAAAAAAATGATAGTTTCATTTTTTTATAATGGATCCCCCATTTTTTGGGTTTTCGTTTAATGTTCCAAAAAAAAAATATTTAAACGGGGGGGCAAATTTTCATTT